GGGTCTGGACGTCCTGCAGGGGGCAGTCTGCTCTAACTCAGTCAGCCAGGCTCCTGACTGGTGGGACAGGGATGCTTTCTGTGGTAGAGCTGTCTTCAGGATGTAACCAGATACAACACGTCATTGGCAGAAAGGTCCTGGTTCACCTGAGACTTGAACCCAGAACCTTCTTGCTGGGAGGCGATGGTGCTAACCACCACACCACCATGCCGCCCGCACTGGATCCCTGTGCACTTAAAACCTGAGACAGAAACTGGTTTACCCCAAAGACAAGACACCCAGAAACAAGACCGACAATGTGGTTTACGCCGTTCAGGGTGTGACCCAAACCCAAAGATGTCACCCAAACCATTCTGACAGGGAGTTACCGACCCATCAGAACCCCCCAACCACCATTAACCCCCCCAGGTGACCTCCATGGCCCCCCAGCAGGAGGAACCTGAGCCACCTTTGGTTTATTGTTTTTACCCCTAATTAGGGGGGCCACTGCCAGCGGCAGGCCCACCTATTACTATCCAAAATACTTATTCCATCACTTATAGTTCTCCCGCTTCTGCGGACCGCTCCCGCACGGTTCGACGGATCGGGCCCAAAATCGGCACGCACGTCCGGACCCACCTAGCCATGCGTGCTTTAGCATTTTTTTAGTAATACATTAGTTCTGTTACCAGGAGAGCGAAGCCCGCTTAGAGGGCTTTAGTCATAGCCCGGTTCTGGTTCTGGTTCTGGGGATCGGAACCAACCGGGTCGGGACCGGACCCAGTCATGTCATACCTCGTTGCGCAGGTCTTTTTCTCAGCCAATGTGACCCCCGACCTGCTCAAACCAATAGCATTCGGTCAGCGGGCCCCAGAGCTCAGCCAGGTCCCTCCATCACTGTGTCTCTCCCTCAGGACCTCTCATAGGTGCAAGCCCACATTATAAAGAGCCCAAATATTCTGTGTCCAACTTTTGAGGGCCCCAGGAAGCCAGCCCCGGGTTTTTGGACGGGCAGTAGGTGGCCCCCCTCAAAATTTCTTTATAAATTTTCTAGTTATTTTGTTACAACTACAGTAGCTCCATCTCATCTGTTAAAACTCAAGAAGCTTCTTGGATCAGAGGCCAAACGTCACCTTCAGTTGCCTAACTGAACTTTTCAAGCACGAAACATCACAGACTTCTTTCTCCCTCCTGCAGATCGGCCCTGGCCTGTCCTCTCTGTGTCTCCATCATGGCTGAGTCCTGGAGCCTCAGTAACTCTGAGCTGTCAGCTTCAGCATCAGGATGCAGGATGGAGCTTCTCCTGGTACAAAGCAGTTCGTGATCGGTCAGCAGGGTCTTACGGATATAAGCTGCTGCCTGTTAACACCACTGGGGCCGAACAGGGTTCCTACATCCTCCCTGGACAGACACACACAGCAGGATATGTGTGCAGAGCTGGGAGAGTGGACCGAGAGTATCACAGCCATTACAGTGAGCCACAGTTCGTCTGGTCTGCAGGTCAGTTGGTTTCTGTCCTCTCAGAGCAGAAGTTCTGCACAGCTAAAGAAGCAAATGAACCAAATGTTGCTTTTTCAGATCTTCATCCAGCAGCGTCTCTCACAGTAAGTCCAGACAGAGTTCAACACTTCAGACGTGACTCTGTCTCATTAACCTGTGGAGGAAACTCGACCACCTGGAGAGTGAAGAGGTTCACAGGAACAGGATATCTTTTAAACTGCATCTCCTGGGGAACAATGACTGGATCCAGATGTGAGAAACAGCTTTCCTCCAGTGGTGACGGAGTGTTCTGGTGTGAGTCTGAATCAGGAGAGTTCAGCAACGCCGTCAACATCTCTGTACAGGGTCTGTTCTGATCAATGTTCTTCTGTCTACCATCTACTCTACCATTCCTGTATCTGTGTGTGTCATCACGTAGACAGAAACGCATTCTTCCAGCTCACTGGTCAGAAGAAACCTGATGTCCTCTGACTGTTTTACAGCTAATTATGATGATGGTCTCATCCTGGAGAGCCCCGTCCATCCTGTAACTGAGGGAGCTTCTGTCAGTCTGAGCTGCAGAACGAGAGGAAGAGCCCCACTTTCCAAAGTGGATTTCTACCACGATGCCAAACTGGTGCAGAATAGCAGCAGAGCGGAGCTGAACATCTCTGCTGTGTCCCAGTCAGATGAAGGTTTCTACTGGTGTGAAGCATCAGGGAGGCGTTCAGCACAGAGCTGGGTCTCAGTCAAAGGTCAGCAGGGCTCATTCACAGCTGGAGGATGAAACCTTCCTGTGGATGAGTCTGCTCATCTGTTGTGTACAGGAGGTGTTTCCAGAGCTGAAAGCTCCTCCTTTCCTGTTCTGATGGTGGTTGGAGCCGTTGTTGTTGGAGTCTTTCTTTTGGTTCTGCTGCTCTTGTTTTATAGATGCAAGCATTCAAAAGGTGAGATTTGTGTCACGTCTGGGGGAATGTCTGGCGTCTCGTCATGTCTTGATTACCTATTGTGTACACCTGGGGTTCCCCTCCCTCATGTGTTTAAATAGTCCTCGTTTCCCATGTCCTGTGCCAGTGCGGTTTTGTCCTTTGTCACTTTTCGTCACTTTTCGCCACGTAAGGTTTTGATTTATGCACTTTGCCATAGTCTTATTTTTTGTGCCATAGTCTTATTTTTGTCACAGCCTTGCCATAGCCTTGTTTTTTCCACAACCATGTTAATTTTGTTTGTACTTTTGCCATAGCCTTGTTTTTGCCACAGCCATGTTAATCTTGTTTGTACTTTTGCCATAGCCTTGTTTTTGCCACAGCCATGTTAATCTTGTTTGTACTTTTGCCCTAGCCTTGTTTTTGCCACAGACATGTTAATCCTGTTTGTACTTTGGCCATAGTCTTGTTTTGATAATTTTCCACAATTTTGTTTACTTTATTTGATACTTTGATCATAGTTTTTGTAACAGCCTTGTTTTGAACCTTGTCTTCATCCACTCCGTTTGAGTGCCTTGTGTTACATTAAACCCTGTTTTCACAAATCGACTGAGTCCTCCCTAAGATCCACGCCTCGTGACAATTGGCCTATTTAAATCCTTTTCCATCACACAGATACATACAAAGTTATCAATTTGTTTCATTATGGAAACAAATTGGATTCTAATCGGCTTGAGTCACCCTGTATTCTCTATTTGTTTTAATTTTTGCGTCATATCAATGGAATTGAAAGAGAATATTGTCTAAAATAACTGTGTTTGTTCACAGGTTTCTCCTGCATCAGGTCAGTAAATCAGTCCTTTTGCTCTCATCTCTAAATCAAACCATCAAAGTTGAACTTTCTGGTGTTAAACTGTTTGATTCTCCATGTTTTAGGTCGGTCCGGTCACAGAGCCCCCCCCAGAGATCCAGCACAGATCACGAGCACGGTCAGTATTCTGATTTTTAATGCCACCATGAACTGAACTTATCTGATCTCTGTCTTCATGAAGAACAAGAAACAATGGGACAATCAAAGGTCGAAACCCTCTCTTTGTTTGTATCTTTAACTTTAACTTTACCAACCCAGCACAAAGAAACAGATTCGGCCATATTGTCCAAACACCACAGACACAAAATTATCTGGTTTGTGGTGTAAAATGATGGTGAGCTCAGGATGCTGACAGATTCGAACCCTTTGTTGTTTTTACAGCACAAACAGAAACTAAAAGAAAACAAAAGACAGAAGAATTCAAAGTTATTCCTTTAACCCTATAATGCCATATGTTTCATATTTGATACAAACGATTTCTGAAAAACTTTGCATCTGAGACCATTTGCATCATTTCATGGTAAAAACTTTGTTCAAAATCTTGTTGTACACAACCAGGTATTGCTGATAACAGTGGGCAGAAGACTATTATTACTATCATTTTGACTTAGCAGAAGGTATTAAATGACGAATATTCAAAAATTATTTCTGTTTTTTCTCATATTTTGTGAAGGGTCAAACAAAGACTTCAAAAACAAAAATGCTCCCTATTTTTTTTCTTGGATTGGGCTTTAAAGGGTTAAAAATTGTATTCATGCATCATTAAAGCATCCCTTTTCTTCTTTTCTTATTCTCAGTAGCCAACGCTGCCCTCTATGAGTCCACCGAACCCTCTGACAACTTAACAGGTACAGTAGAACTTTAAACCTCTCAGAAACGCAGACATTTGGGGGTTTGGGGGGGGAGGGGCGAGGATCGGTCAATGACACAAACACCTGAAATGTTTCAGGAGCTGCTGCACCCAAAGACGTCATTTACTCGGTTATTGAGCTGAAGAACATGGGAGAGACGAGTGAGTTCCACACAGACCCGCTCAGAGTGTCGGCGTGAGTGACCCTGATGTTCTTCTCTGTGGATTAACAGGGAGGCCGCACACAGCAGAGGAGTTTGCTGTTTACACCGACGTGAAGACGGGGGCTGCAGGTACCCTCAGGGTTGGGTTTTTATCCCCGTCCACGTGCCTCTGGTCTGGGTTCTCGTTTGTGGGGAAAAGCTGATGTGAAAATTGGGTCATTTTCATCCAGGTTCAATTACAAAACTCCAAATCCAACATGGTGAATGTTTAACCAGAATTAAATCAAAACACAGAGCCGATTTAAAACGGCTTCTTAGCCAGGAAGCTGGAGCTGGGGAACATCTGGAAGCTGGAGCTGGGCAACATCTATTCAATTCAATTAAATTTTATTTATATATCGCCACATCACAACAACAGTCGTCTTACAGCGCTTTCCAAACAGAGCAGGTCAGACCCTACTCTGAAGTTAACTACAGAAACCCAACGATTCCAACCATGAGCAAGCACTAGGCGACACAGGCAAGGAAAAACTTCCCTTTAACAGGCAGAAACCTGGAGCAGAACCATGGCTCAGGGTGGGGGGGGCATCTGCCTCGGCCGGTTGGGGGTGAGAGAGAGAGAGGGAGAGAGAGAGAGATAGGCTGCAAACACAGCAACACGTAGACTGGATGACAAATGGCAATGATATTGATACTAATTATAATGAGCTCATAGAGCTCAACTTAAACTTTGGATGAAAGCAAGCCAGTCATGTGACCACTAAAATCTAAACTTTTACTTGTGATGCTTATATTGTTTATCATATGTTATTTTTTATGCCTTTGCCTGCCTAGGGACTACGGATGAAAATTAGCTTTGTAGCTACAATCCGGCATATTTACATTTGTTTTTATACTGATGTTCATTAATGTGCTTTGTCCCTATTTAAGTAAATAAATAAATAAATAAATAAATAAATAAATTATAGAAGTTATGACAGTAATAACACAATGCAGAGTAGTAGCAGAGCAGGAACACGGGGGCAGCAGGAAACTCCCAACAAAAGATCCAGACCCCACAGGTCCAGATTCAGGAATATCTGCAGAAAGTGATGAGAGGAGAGAGAAGGGGGACGAGAAAGCAGAGCTGGAAGCTGGGGAACATCTGGAAGATGGAGCTTCCCCTAGAGGAGGAGCCAAACCCAGAGGGGGGGGGGGGACTCAGTTTGGTCTCTCACTCCAACAGCGGAGTGTTCTCACCCATCTGCTGGCCAAATGTAACCAAAAACCTTCTGATTTCAGATCCCGGCCCGCTGTACTCTGAGATCTCCCACAAAAATCCAGGAAAACGCAAGAGAAAGAAAGGTACTAAACGTCCACATTCAGCCGCCAGCTGAGAGGAGATAGATAACCGATTTCCACCTCTTTTGAGTCTTTCTTCACACATGGTCACTTTTGAGAGTTAACGACACACAGATGAAAGATGAAATGGTTTAAGATGGCATACTGTAGAACAGTAAAGGCTGCTGGTTTGATTCTGTGTTTCCATTTCCAGGAAAGTCCAGTCCAGCAGATGAAGCGGCGGTTTATTCTGAGGTCAGATTACGCTGAAATC